TGCCATTACTCCACTTCCCACTATATGACCGAGGAAACTTACCTGGTTCAAATCCTAGTTCTATTTTTGACGGTTTTACAGTTAATCCCGCTTCCCTTAATCTCCTAAATACTGCCTCTAAGCTTTTAACGTGTTCCCCCCAGCTGTCACTACAAATGCATATGTCGTCAAAGAATGAGACTACGTTCTCTAAGCCTTTCAGAACTAAACGCATTAATCTGGCAAAGCTTGCAGGAGCGGTAGACAGACCAAAAGGGAGGTAATTAAAATGGTAAAGTCACCAGGATGTAGAGAATGCTGTAAGCTTCTTGCTTTTATCGTTGAGGGGTATTTGCCAGTAGCCTTTGGTCAGGTCTAATTTAGTGAAATATTTGGCACTATTCAACTTGGCAAATATCTCCTCTTGGTCTGGGATAGACTCAGCGTCATATATGGTGACGGCGTTCAGCCTGCGGTAGTAAACACAAAATCGGGCAGACCCATCTTTCTTTTTGACCAAAACTACCGGGGCGCTATAGTCTGAGTTTGACTTTTCTATAATCCCTAATCTTTCCATTTCTTCGATTTCTGCTCTCATTATTTCTCTGTGTGCGTAGGGAATAGAATAGGGTTTCATCCGAATGGGTTTAAAGTCACTTAAATCAATGTTGTGTTCAACTAAGTTAGTTCTACCCTGTATATTACTGATAATATCTTTGAACTCATGGATCAGACGATGTAGGTCTGTGCGTTGCGACTCGGAGAGTGTTTCGTTAATTTGAATTGTGGTTCGGTCGGTGGGTTCTGTCACGTCAGGCGTTCTAATCCTAACCGGTGGGACACCTGGTTGCGGATCATTGCCCCACTCAGGCTTCTCTTCTTCTTCTTCGATAACACCTGATACGGCCGCTAGCACGGGATGTGTTTTGGACTTATCTGAATTATTCCTGTGGTGGTACAGTATTATCCGGTTTACGTGGAAGACTTTTGTCCTCTCACCGACTCTAACAACATAGTCTAGGTCTGAGATTTTGTTAACAACTTCGTAAGGCCCTGCCCATCTAAGCTCTAACTTGTTCAGCAGGTGAAGCTTTAGGACCAGCACATGGTCGCCAATTCTAATGTCTTTTACTTTTGTTGATTTGTCATAATACTTTTTGTATTTATCTTTACTCATTTCTGTCTTTCTCGTAGCGTACCTACACGCTGACTGTAATTTTTGTTTTAAGTCAAGTAAGTAGTCATATGCTAACCTAGTCTTACAGTCTCTTGTTCCTTCGCCTGTAAAAATGGACCTGAGTATGTTCATAGGTCCCCTAACTTTTCTACCGAACATGAGTTCGAAGGGTGAATAGCCGGTGATTTCATTTGGGACCTCCCTATAGGCGAACAGAGCTGCCGGTATAAATTCGTCCCAGTCTTCCTGTCTATCTGCTGTGATTTTTCTCAGCATTTCCTTGAAAGTACCATTCCATCTTTCAACTGCCCCATTTGACATGGCGTGGTACGCTGATGAATGCACCAGTTTAATACCTAGCAGCTTCGAAACCTTGTTGAAAATTTCCGACGTAAATTGGGACCCATTATCCGGCAAGATAACTTCAGGGAATCCCATTCTAGTAAAAATTGAGACCAGAGCATCTTGAACCTCAGATGCAGTTATACTTTTGAGAGGTACCGCTTCAGGCCATCTTGTACATAGATCTATAGCTGTTAGGATAAACCCATTTCTCTTCTTTGTAAGCTTTAAAGGTCTTACAATATCAATGGCTAACTTGGCGAATGGTTGTCCAACCACTTGTGATCTACCTAGCGGCGCTTTATTGCCGATGTTCTTCTTGCCTTTCTGGCATGTGTCACAACTGTAGCTGTACTTTCTTATGTCTCCAGCTGCGCCTGGCCATCTAAACTCTGAGAAGATCCGGGCTTTGGTTCTAGCCAACCCCATGTGGCCGGCCATGGGTGTGTCGTGGCCTAGTTTTAACACAGTATCTCTAAGTGCTGATGGAACGACTAAACGAATTTGATCTTCCCCTCTAATGTGTCCGACAACTTTGAACAACAAGCCGTCTACAATTGTGTACTTCTTATCGCCCTTTTTTGCAGACTTCCACCATTTTTTGAGAGTATCATCGTTGGACTGTTGTCTCCTAAATTCTTCAGCCGATACAGTTTTGCCTAGCATGTTATAAGTTTGTTTCCCATCTAGTTTTTTCTTATTTCTGGCTTGCCCTCTTGTTTCTACAGCAGCGATAATACCAAGGTCTTCGTTAGATGGAGGCTTGGCTCCCCCTACATTGCCGACTATAAGGTCTGCAGGGGGTCATCTAAAAGGACTGCTAGAAACTCTCCAGTAAGATAAGGAGTTTCAATGCTCACCAACGCTCTAGGCACTCTCTTGCTGTCACCGTTGGCTGTCTTAATCGTCATCCTACCACGTTTCCTACACGCTATTACTACGGAGCCTGTGTCGCGCAAAACAGTAACAGTCTGATTGTCTAATTTTCCAGAGACGATAGGTAGTTTTCCCTTAAAACGTTTTTCCCACTGATCGCTAACTATGTTTCCTATTGGCAAGGTAAATTTCATTTGGTTGATACACTTTTCACAATCTTCGCACTCTCCACTAAACTCGGGGACTAGTCATCTTTCTTTGTTTCTAAAACTGACCTTCTTCTGTTTGTTTCTGCTCTTATCCACCTTAGGTGATTTATTACGCCCCTGTCGTTGTGTCCGTTCGGTATCGACATTACAATCAGCTGCTATATGGCCCCTTAAGCCGCATGAAAAACATTTCGTTCGTGGTCGAGGCGAGTTGTTATTAGTCCGTGTAGTTTGTCGAGATGGACCCGGTGACTGGACATAACTATTACTGTCTGAGTCAGAATTCTGTCTATGTTTTGTGAATTGTGATCGACGAGGTCCAGAGTTGTCCCTAGGATGGTGTCTGTATATCGGTGATTTCGAGCTACGTGTGTTGTGTCTATAGCTGTGTCTGAAGTGCGGTGAATTTGATCTACTAAGACGTCGGTCATCTTTTGAGACTGATGGCATTGGTTCTGCTATTGCAGCTATAAGCTCTGTCGGAGCATCTGGAGAGTCGCCTAGCTGTTTCGTCGGAAATATAGCGAAATAGTTGTCACACTGTTTCTCCACCTCGTCAACAGTCATAGGGTTATGTATTAGTATGTGTTGTCTGATATCTTCACTTACTGTCCTTAAGATTTTGTCTTTAAGAATCAGATCAAACAGACCGTCATACGTTTTCTCTATCCCGCTTAGTTCGACCCATCTCTTCAAATAATGTCTAGTTCTCCTAATGTAGCTTCCTGGTTTGTCCTCAGAGTTGGGTTTGGATGAGTTAAACCTATTGCTGTAGCCTGACTCTGTCAGCCCATAATGTTTCAGAACTTCTCGTTTTAATTTGGCGTAGTCTTCTTCTGCACCTATCTCAGTTAACCAGGCATCACAGCCTCTGTCTAACAGAACTTTCCTGAACTCATGGCACCAATATCCCGGACGAGTCCCCAGATGTTGCAGACCGGTCTACGATGTTGCCGTCCGGTTGCTTAGTCGCCGGCCGAATACGTTGCTGACACTGGCTCGGGCACTAGCCAATAAGGCCGTCGTTGTCTAGGGGTATTTAATTATTCTACCCGAGTCAGCTACAGTGACGTAATCAACGGAACAGGAGACCTTCTTAGTTTGTGCTGTTTATTAATTCGCTGAATGCCTGTTCTGCTGAGCGAGGCTTCCCCTAACCGCTAACGTCGGGAGCGCTTGTGATAGAGAGAGAGAGACTAACTAACCTGCCTGTATTTATACCCCTGTTCAAACCCCCTAGCTATTCCCACGGGACAATGAGCTCAAAACTTGTGACCTAACAAATTATCCCCCCTGGTGCTAACAACCCTGGCTACTGGTCAGTATAAAGGCTACTATTGTCCTGTCAGAGCGTTCAGTCTCTTTGAACGTGTCACCAAATGTCCATCCCTGCTGTGTACCCTGTAATTATATAGTGAATGGATGTTTGTGGAATTCTGACCCAACAAAAAGTGATTAAAAACACAAATAAATGGGATAAACAATAGGGACAATATTAATTATAACAAGGATTAATGCGATAAACAACAGAACAGAGATAAATGCTATAAATACAGTTGATAAATGAGATAAAGAAAATTGATAAATGGGATAAACAATAGGGATACATTGGATAAACAACAGGGATAAACGGAATAAATCACAGGGATTAATGGGATAAACAACAGGGATAAACCACATCACACAACATTTACCCTTTTCATCCACTTCACAACATATATTCTAAGAAATTTTCATTTCTTTGATTTTCTTAAAATATAATTATGAGTTGTTTCGTCACGTATTCGAGCAAGTTTATGAGAGATCACTCACGCTTTTTAAGAACTTATTTAAAACGTAACTAAAACGGTGCTCAAGTTAATGTGTTTACATTCACACTGATACAAAATGAAAGAGACAGAAACCGACAATAATGTCTCAACTTAGGACTAAAAAAAACGTCTAGATATGTCAACACAATTTTTTACTTCATTGCAATAATGTCTCTACACCGCGCTTGCGAGTAAAAACGAACATGCTTTAATCACCCTAAAATCATTCATTTCAAACATCAATATAAAAGTAACTTGTATATCAGTATTTTTGTCTATATTATTATGTTGCTTCATTTTTTAAATCATCAAAAATAGGATATAAATATATTAAAACATATGCAAGTTTAAAAAGATATAATTATTATTACTTTTACCTTATCTGGCTTCGAAATATTTTATTCTTATCTTATATCATGTCAGTTAAAACTGAAAGCGACATATTCTATTTCCTTGACTCTTTATTCGGTTGCAAACATTGCGCACGTAAAAACTTGAAACATTGACTTTATTTTAATCTTTTACACCGCACCAGAAGAGATCTTCAAAAACCGAAAACAAATGTATTTGACATTCTGCTTACTTCCGACCTAACAATAACAAACAAACAACATAAATTACTCATAAAACAATTAGCATTAAACGTTGAGATTAGTACAACGTTTAAAGGATGTAGCACTTGATATATTAGGAATATAAATCATTTAAATTTAGTTTTGCGTTTAGACTCAAAACTTTGTTTATGTTTAGCGTTGCTATTAATAGTTCGACTATTAGAGTGGAGGTATCGAATTCTTATAACAAAACCTAAAGCTGGACAGACAAACTGATGCTTATCAAGACCATATAACTGACTCTTGCCTGAATTCTTATAATAACAACAATGTTCTTAGGTAGACAAGTGTTTTTTAAAGTCGTGTTATACAGTATAAAACCAGGCAAATTATAATGTATTTGAAAGAATAAAAAAAAATATATAAAAAGGGCTGTTTCATTCCAAACTTTAAATCGTGTTCGACGATCCAAAAATACAAATGTTTTACAAAATCCAATCACAATGTCTACATACTGTGTAAGATATGTCATTTTAGAAGTTAGGTCTTGTAAGCAGAAAAAAAACCCATTAAAAATCCGTACATTAAGTATCCAGGATCATACAAAATCTGTGTATATATTGCATATGCCGTTTTAATTATTTGATATTTCCACTTTTTAAAAAAAAAATTATTTTATTATATTCCTTATGAGTTATTTAAGAAAAGATATTCCCAATGCTTCTATTGTAGATGTATGCATAAAACCAAGTTGGTATTAATATTTTGATTTGTCTGAAAAATTAAACATTCATAATTATGCTACATTTTCAGGAATTTTTTTTAAGGTTTGATAATATAAAAAAAAACATTCAACTAAGATTTCTCGTTCGATGAAGATAGTTTCAAAGTAAACGTTACAAGAACAGCTGAAGTCGAAGCTATCAGAATGTCACTCTCCGAGAAATTGTGTCAAAATCTGAATAAAATATGGGCGGATCAAGAACTTTGTGACTTTACAGTTGAAATAGATGACGTGTCCATAAGGTGTCATCGCGTCATTCTCGGAGCGAGTTCGCCATTTTTTCTTAGACTGCTGAGATCTGGAATGAAAGAAACCAACGAAGGACATGTAGTTCTACAAGATATATCAGTCTCCACCTTTCAGTTAATTCTGAAAACTTTGTACACCGGTGAAGACGTGTTGAGTCTTGACAACTTCATAGAAATCTGGCACGCTGTAGATATGCTCCAGATTGGATTTCTTGTAGAGCATTGTGAAACATTTGCTGCTAAAAACATAAAACTGGAAAATTTTAGGAGAATACTTTCCGTTGCTAACCTCTTTAATTCTAAATCAGTACTGTCGTCAGTTAAAACGTTCATGACGCAGAACATTGAAGCCATTTATACAGATAAACTGTATTTAGAATTATCGTTTGATGAAATGTGTTTTGTCGTTAGCAGTCATGGTCTTCATTTCAACAGTGAAGATCCTGTACTAGAGATGGTTCTAAACTGGGCTGAAAACAAGCCTGTTGTTAAGGATTTTGAAGCCATCAACTATTGCACTGGAAACAATAAAAAGTTCAAAACATCAGAACCAGTTAATAGAGTTTGTAATGCTAACTTAAAATATACACCGCCTAAATGTTCAGAAGACAAGTCTACTACAGAGTCTAACAGTAATGAAAACCAGCTTAAATGTGTATTAAGTTATGATTCGAATGCAATGCCAGTACGCTTGTGTGACAACACAAATTCCACCTCTGTAGAAAATCTTAGCACTGATAGATTTGATCAACTCAACATCTTACTAACACTAGTAAGAACCTGTATTATTAGCCCCAGTTTACTTGTGAATTTTTTAGAACATCGGCTCATTAAGCGTAACGACAAAGCACGGCAAATAATAGTCTCAGCTATTTTAAAGCAGACGTCTTTTCGACATGGACAATGGCCGACAGCAGGTATCTACAGACAGTTTCACGAGTATGGCAACTTTTGTGTCACTTATGTGAACGATACAGGGAAATTCTTGTTGATTGATCCGTTTGATGAAAAAAGGTACACAATAAAATCGTGTCCGCGGCTACGTCACAACACTAAGCTATGTGCTTTTGACAAAGAGCTCTATGCGACTTCTGGACATTTTGCAGGTAGGATTACAAGTGACATGTTTGTTTACAGGGATAACTCGTGGACACAATTAGACGATATCCCAGGAGCAGTTGTATTACTAGCAAGCAATGACCAATATATATACATTATAGCCCTTTTGATAAATAATGTATTTCGATTAAAGCCGAAAAGTAACCCTCCAAAGGATGATTTTTTTTACAATTCTACGAAATCGGTTTTTTGTAACGCATGTTATGAGCTACCAAATGTATCTGCTCATCTTCAGTACTGAAACACCCGATGGCGATCAGGCAACAGCAGTCGATATGCTAGACCTTCAGACCAAGAGCTGGACAAGGCTGGACAACCTGGAAGGATCAGCTAAAAACATCATCAGTTTTCGTAACGACGACAACCACTTTGTGCTTCAAACAAACGGCAACTTGTGGGTTTTGAGAGTGACGGATGAAAAAATCACGTTCACACGTCAAGCTAAACTGTGGAATTTAGACCACATTTTGTACGGAGCTGTCGTTTACGGTGAAAAATTGGTCATCTTTTACGAATATCTAGAAAATGGCCCAAAAGACACATTTGTTTCTAAACTTGACAATACTTTTCGTTCAGTTTGTTACTATAAATTAACTTCTTCATGTTCCAACGTGATTCCTTTTGTTCTACCTAAATATAGCCTTTCAGAATATTGATAATAATGGGATGTCTTGCACGCTCCACATAAATAAATTATACTTTATTTAACTTTTACAAAGCTGGGCAGTCCTTATCTAATAAGAGCTTATTATTTTACACAACTTTAAACAACGTTAAATTTCACTTGCTCATTTCGACCCACAGCAAAGACAAAAAATGAGAAAGCAAATTAAATTATTTTTGAAGGAAAATTTTATACAAGTTGTCGTGGACAAATATAACGGTTTTACTCTTGTTTTGTTTTTTTCTCTTTACACTAAGGTTTTATTTATTAATGAAGTAGCAATATTTTTTAAGCTGATTTAAATAAATGGTTTGGTATTTATATATATTTTGGACTTTTGCATTCAAAATTTAAAATAAAATCATTTTGAATAAAAATGTTTGTATAATATTATTTACTCTGTTTTGTTACTGACAAAATGGTTGTAACTGTCAATGAAGTCAGGGCCTGAAGTAGAACCTAAGCGACAGTAAAAATCTAAAATAAATACAAATGTAAAAATTAAGATTATTTTCTTGATGCTGAGGGTGGTTTTTGGATTTTCGTGTTGTCCACGTAAACATTTGTGTTTGTGGTGCGTTCTTTTCTCTTAAAAGTAGAAATAGAAAGCCTTTTTGTTGTAAACAATATATAAAGATAATTTTACTTATCGAGAGTAACAAATATGATACATGATTTACACCTTATGTTAACTCTAAACGTTGATCATATCAGACTCTTCTGTAAAATGTGTAAATAAATTTTATTCGATGAGATTGAGAAATGTCGTCAGAAACAAGTTAATTCAACTGTTTTCAGGTTTCCACATAAATCTGGTTGAAAGGTTGGCTTATTCAATATTTTAAAATGTATTTTTTTTTTAAATTCAACAATGAATTATTTATTTAATATAGTTATAGAATTGTTACGATCTTGAACAAGTCGGAAATGTACAAGAAGTTGTGGCTTTTTAGAGTAACAGGTGAAAACATCGGATTCACTCATGTAGCAAAACTGTGGAATTTAGACCACAATCTGTACGGAGCTGTCGTTTACGGTGATAAATGGGTCATTTTTTACAAATATCTAGAGAACAACCCGAAAGACAATTTTGTTTATAAACTTGACAACTTTTTCAAATCAGTCAGTTATAGTGAATTAGCTCCAACGTGTTCAAAACTGATTCCTGTTGTTCTGCCTAAACATTGTCTTTCAAGATATTTATAATAATGGAATGTCTAGTAATATATCAATGCTAGTAATATATCAATGGAGTTGATATATTACTAGCAAGCAGTGAACAATATGTATATGCAACAAGCGTTTCGGAAAAGATAATATATCGTATAAACCCAAAATGTAATCTCCCCTTTATAAGTACATTTTCAACTCTACCAGAAGGCTCTGTTGTAAAACATTTTATGAGCTATCAAATATCTACTCATCTTTTGTACTGAAACAGACAATGGCGTCGAGGAAACGGCTGTCCATATGTTAGACATCCAGGCCAAGATCTGGACAAGACTGGACAACCTCAATGGACCAGTTGAAAACATCATCAATTTTCGTAACGACGACAACCACTTTGTGCTACAAACAAACGGCAACTTGTGGGTTTTGAGAGTGACGGGTGAAAACATCAGATTCACTTATGTAGCGAAACTTTGGAATTTAGATTACGATCTGTACGGAGCTGTCGTTTACGGTGAAAAATTGGTCATATTTTACAAAAATCTTTAAAACGGCCCTGAAGACAATGTTTTTCAATTAATCAGTTACACTGAATTAGCTTCTATGTGTTCAAAACTGATTCCTGTTGTTTTGCTTAAATCTTGTTTTTCAGAATTTTAATTATACCGGGATGTCTAGCATGATATTTTGTAATGTTTTATACTAAGTTTTGCAATATAATCCAGTAATATTGTTTAAATAGTGCAAAATATGATAACACTTAAGTATTAGGTTTATACAATGTAAATATTATGGCATATTTTCATTAGAAAAACAGCACGATAATTTGAATAATACCGTAATTTAAATGTTACACAATTGTTTATAAAAATAGAACTGAAATGTTGTACATAAAAAATGAAGGAAAACAAAAAAAAAGTTCTTTAAGTGGACTATAAAGGGTAATTGATGTTAGTGAAAAAGTTGCACTACATCAAATTATATTTTATTTCCTACATGTAGTTTTTAAAGCGTTTAAAAAGATATTTCAGCTTTGACTTAATTTAATAAAATAATTTAAAGTATTTATTTGATAATAGGTATTCAGCACAATTATAAATTAAAAATATATTTAAATGTCTGCTCTTTTTTTTAAAATTTCTTTTTTTTTGCTTGTTTTTAGTTAATTAAAAAAAATATCCTAAAAGCTTACATATACAGATTGAAGCTGGAGTGGGCTTCCCCTAAACTCTGCATTATAATCGTATACTACAATAAGTAGTGGAAAGGCACTTTATAGTATAATATGGCTACAAAAATATTTGTAAGTTTGTTAATGGCACACAGAGGCGAAAAGCTCTTAGAATATGCCAAATGTAATTACGGATAGGTTTTCGAAAAGAATAAATGATGCTTAAACACTACACTATATTTAACCCTTATTGTAATACTAACGAATTATAAGCTTTACACTTGCTAATTTTAAGCATCATTCTTTTTTAATTTAAAATTACAAAATAATATACATAGTGTTTCTTTATTTTTGGTTGCAGTATTAATATAACAAATGTAATTAATTCGACGAAACAGCGAGATATTCTGGGGTAGAAGGGGGCGGGGGTGTGTGCGCAGGACTGCAAGAGTCAAACAAGCACCCACGGGCAAAGGTGTAGCGACCCCTGCCGGCGCCGGGGGATAAACTTTCAATTTGCCCCCCCCCCCACCCAATATATTTTTTTATATTTATTATTCAAAACTGCATCTAAAATAATGAGCTTTTAGTTATTTTTTTCAACTTATTTTGGCGCCCTTTGGGTCTACGCCCGGGGACATATGTACCCCCCCCCCCACCCCCGTCGCTACTCCTATCCGGGTAAAACGATTAGAGAAATCAAAGACAGCTGAACGCAGAGGTTATCACACTATACAGCCCATATGCCGGTCACATTATCAGATAAGGTTTACTGTATCTGCCCAGTGTACCAGCAGATCTGAAATGTATTTACAATGTAAAATACTCACGTGAGCGAAAATTGTAACATTTATATTTTAGGCAAATTAATTCCTTTTTTATCATTGTGTGTAACTAAATTATTGTGTTGCAAAAATCACACTAAAATTAATGATCTTGGAATGTAATTTCAATCCCTAATCCATTAGACATTTTTCGCCTGTTGTAGAATCTATCCGGATCTACAATCTAACTCTAAGCCAATAACATAATGAACACTTGAGTTTTTTTACTAAAGTATTTAAGGCCTTAAATATTTGATATGAATCTTTTCTTTTCTATCAGTGAAATAGGCTAAATTAGGACAACATTTAATTTTTTTAAATATACACGTAATTTTCCTACGCTGACTTAAGTAAAATAACTCAATATATTTTCAATAATAGACACTACGTGTCAATGTTACATTTTTATGCTTTAATTTTCCCTCATAGAGAATGCACAGTGGAAAATCACGACACATGAAATTTATGCCAATGAAGACCACCGAGTTGACGAGAATCCTTCCATCGTATTGTTGGCATCGATTGACAATTTGCTTTTTTATTGTTTGCAATTAAAGCGACCGTAACAATAATAAAAATAATAAACTAAACCTAAAAATAAATCAGAAATGTAATAATTTTAGAATTAATGAATTAAATTCGGTGTTTTTAACAGCTCCACAATTTGAAAATTCATAATAAATCGATTTGTAGATCTCAACATAAAAGTTTTAACTAAGTACCCCATAATATGGTAGGAGATTATGAATTCATTGTTTATAGGGCTAAAATATAATACTCTATGAAAGGTGTAAATCCTACGAAGAGGTTGTTTTTTTCAAGATGGCTGGTATTGTCATAGTTACGAATACTTTCCCGCCATCTTTTTTTCAATGGAAATACATATGCGGATACATCTTTAAAAAGCTGTAGAGAAAAAACAAATGATTGCTTTCTAGTATTAAATAAAGTTTTTTTTTTTTTTACCGGAGCCTAATCCCTTAAAAGAAATAAACATGTGGGTTGAGGTGTGAATTTTTTTAGATGTGAATAATAAAGTTGCTTGTCGTGAGTTGGCGGGACATGGGGCAGGTAAAGTAGAGTTCACCTGTTTCTGTGACCTCCAAATATTAAATAATTATATGGTCAGACCCATGTTCAGTCAAATGTCTGTTTTTAAAAGACAAAAACATTTTGTCTGAGGTGTGACGTCTTTATATATGTGGGTTCTGTTTTTTTTTTGTGACGATGTGTAGCAGTCGTAAGAAGAAGGGAAAGATAAAAATCGTTAAACATACGTGACGTCATTTATGGATGACCCGCGAAAACCACAGGTATCCAATGTTAACGAATAGTCTAGTTTAGATCTAATTTTTCTTTTGCGTTAAACATTTGCGCACTGAATTATTTTCAACATTAATTTTATTTCTAATTCTTCACACTGCACAACTAAAGTGCTATAAAAAACTGCCCTAAATTTTATGTTGTTTACTTCGGACCTAGTCTAGATCTAGATCTAATAACATCTAAAAAAAAACATCCCATCGAAACATCGTCTTCATAGTAAAGAAGGTATATTTTTCTTGTATGTATTTATAATAACTAAAGTTATGAGTACAGCGTTTATATGCACTTACCTTGAATAATTACGAATACAACGAATTAGACGTAAGCCTACGTTATGGTTTCTATTAATAGACAACATGAGTTGGTTGGTAGTAGAGTGCACGACTGCCGACACAGAAGTTTCAAGTTCTTACATCTGGCTCAAGTCTCTAGAAGTCCGCATTGTGAACACACGGACACGACTTAAGGGTGATCCGATGCGTAGCGCAACACATAAGACAAACAACCACAAACGGGTTACAAAAATAGACTGAATGAAACAAAGGCTCGTTAAAAGTAAAAGAATGTAATAGTATCGACACTATCTACACCAAGCTACACCTATATACAGTCTATTATAAACACAAAATACACATGCTAGTAAAACTACGATACAGTGGCTAATTACTTGTATAGACCTAAAATATACTAACCTTGGAGATCTGGACGAAACAGGCAATTACACACGTTTTCATACACCTTATATACCCTTTTATAAACAGGGACAAACCGTACTATTACAACTCACATCACGACAACTGAACGGAATAGGGTAACAGGTACAAAACGCATTCACTCCCTTCACTCGTTCACTACAGTCCTTATGTCCACCCAAATCTGATGGTTGCCTGACTACCAAAAGAGAACGTAAATGCAGCCTGCCATTATTCCGACTCTCAGAAACAATTGAACTCTATTTTATCAGCCTCCGTAGAATAGCAAGTTAGAGGGAAACTTTATATTATTATGAGTGGTGTGGAACCAACGACATGTAATCGCCATTTAACTTTTCACTAAAGCTACAGCTAACGAATAAACTGGACTCAAAAGCTGAACCTAATCATGACCAAATATGTGACCCATGCTGAACCAAGACTCCTTACAATATCTTGGTAGTCAATCATTGAAAAAAATTCTCGTTATGCCGGACATATCCAAGTGCAGACAATGCATTTTAACAACATGAAATATAAAAAGATCTAAAACAAACTACATTTAAAACTTACAGTTCTATTGAATCACGCAATATTTTAAACGTCAACAAAAGGCCTACATCAGCAATGGCAGGGCTAAAGCATGTACCATTGGTTCACAAATTATAGGGAACGGAGTAGTCTAGCGGTAGAGAGCTGGATTGCTAACCCGTAAGTCTCGAGTTCAAATTCGGGTCTTATTCAGTAGACCGTCATATGCCGAGATAACAGAAACAAGTGAACTCTACTTCACTTGCCCTATAATCCGTCAATTTTGGAAAGGGAACTTTACTTTCCATTACTTAAAGGTTAGATATCATAAGTTATAAAATAAAACCCTCTAATAAAACAATATGGACAATACTATGTCTGTCAATATATATTTCATTTGTCGTATACATTATTTTATATTACGCTTTTTTAACTCGCATGTTATATTACATTATTATACTTCATATAGGTCATAACTTCCAAATAGGTATCAATGTATTAAATAAAATAATTAAAATTTCAAAATAACGCTTAATTTTACTCTTGTTTTTTATTTTTTTATTTTCAGGTATAAAAGTATACAAAAAAATCAACCTGACTATTCTTTTCTAATAGGATGAAGATATTATTTTAAAAAGTGTTAATGACAAGAACAACTAAGCCTTGGAAAAAAGAATGTCGATCTCTCAGAAAGTGAGTAAATGGCTGGATAAACTATGGGCAGAAGAGGAAATGTGTGACCTTACAGTTCAGATCGGCGATGTGTCCATCAAATGTCATAGTATTATCCTCGCGGCATGTTCGCCATTTTTTCTTGGACTGTTGAGATCTGGTATGAAAGAAGCCAACGAGGGACGTGTAGTTCTACAAAATATATCAGTCTCCACCTTTCAGTTAATCCTGAAATCTTTGTACACCGGTGAAGACGTGTTGAGTATTGATAACTTCATAGAAATCTGGCATGCTGTAGATATGCTGCAGATTGAATTTCTTGTAGAGTTATGTGAAACATTCGCCACTAAAAACATAAAACTGGAAAATTTCAGTGAAATCTTCTCCACTGCCAACCTCTTTAATTCTAAATTAGTTCTGTCGTCGGTGAGAACATTCATGATCCAGAACTTTAAATCTATTTATACATCTAAACGTTTCTTAGAATTATCGTTTGATGAAATGTGTTTTATAGTTAGCAGTCATGGTCTTCATTTCAACAGCGAAGATCCTGTAATAGGGATGGTTCTAAACTGGGCTGAAAACAAACATGTTGTTAAGGGTTCTGAAGCAATAAACCATTGCACTGGAAACAATAAAAAGTTCAAAACATTAGAGCCAGCTAAAAGTTTTGGTAGTGCTAACTTGAAATATATACCGCCTAAATGTTCAGAAGACAAGTCTACTACAGAAGCTAATAGTAGTGAAAACCAGCTTACATGTGAATTAACAAATGATTCGATTGCAATACCAGTACGCTTGGGTGACAACACAAATCCCACCTCTGCAGAAAATCTTAGCACTGATAGATTTGATCAACTCAACATCTTATTAAAACTAGTTAGAACCTGTATTATGAGCCCCAGTTTGCTTGTGAATGTTTTAGAACATCATCTCATTAAGAGTAACGACAAAGCACGGGAAATTATCTTCTCAGCTCTTTTAATGCAGACGTCTTTTCGTCATGGACAATGGCCTACAGCAGGTATCTACAGACAGTTTCACGAGTATGGCAACTTTTGTGTCACTTATGTGAACGATACAGGGAAATTCTTGATGATCGATCCGCTTGAAGAAAAGAGGTACACAATAAAATCGTGTCCGCAGATATGTAAAGACATTCAGTTGATTGCTTTTGACAAAGAGCTCTTTGCAGCTAGTAGACAATGTGCATATAGTTATACAAGTGGCATATTTGTTTACCGTGATAACTCTTGGACATTTGTAACCGAGGTCACAGGAGTAACTGTATTACTAGCAAGCAATGACCAATTCATTTACATTATAAAAGTATTTGCAAATATTGTATGCCTATTTAGATTAAACCCAAAACGTAACCCTCCAATTAATGATTTTATTACACTTCTACAAGGTCGTTATTTTGTAACACATGTAATGAGCTACCAAATTTATCTACTCATCTTCTGTAATGAAACAGTCAATGGCGTCGAGGAAACAGCAGTCCATATATTGGACCTTCAGGACGAAAGCTGGACAAAACTGGACAACCTCAGTGGACCAGCTAAAAACATCATCAGTTTTCGTAACGACGACAACCACTTTGTGCTACAAACAAACGGCAACTTGTGGGTTTTGAGATTAGAGGGTGAAACAATCACGTTCACACATGAAGCAAAACTGTGGAATTTAGACCACTATCTGTACGGAGCTGTCGTTTACGGTGATGAATTGGTTATCTTTTACGAATATCTAGAAAATGGCCCAAAAGACACATTTGTTTCTAAACTTGACAATACTTTTCGTTCAGTTAGTTACTATAAATTAGCTTCTTCATGTTCCAACTTGATTCCATTTGTTCTGCCTAAATATTGTCTTTCAAAATATTAGTATGAATGGGATGTCTTGCACTTTCCACATAAATAAATTATATTTTATTTAACTTTCACAAAGCTGGGCTGTACTTATCTAATAAGAGCTTATTAGTTAACCCAAGTTTAATTTACAGCATGGGTTTAATAGAACCGCCCGCGGCCAGCATTCGCCTGAGTAATACCACCCCCAGCAACCATTACCCCCTGTTATTACCTCCTGAGTAATTACCTCATCCCCACGTTAAACAACTCTGGCCCCAACCCTAACTCCAACCCAACATGTATTCCCAACTCTAAACTTATAACTAACTCTAAACCTATAACTAACTCTAAACCCCACCTTAAGCCAAAGCATCGTCAAGTTTAAAGACGGGTATAAGTTGTCAAAATTTCACTCGCTCAATTCAAAGACAAAAAAGAGAAAGGAAATTGAATTATTTTTGCAAGAAAAGTTTATACAAGTGGTAGTAGACAAACATAATGGTTTTACTCTTGTTGTTTTTTTTTCTTTACACTAAGGTTTTATTTATTAATGAATGAGCAATATTTTAAAGCTGACTAAAATAAATGATTTAGTATTTATAAACATTTTGCAATTTTGCATTGGAAAATCAAACAAAATTATTTTAAATAAAAGTGTTTGTATAATATTTTTTCCTCTGTTTTGTTACTGCCAAAATGTGTGTATTTGTCAATAAAGTCAGGGCCTGAAGTAGAACCTAAGCGAATGTGAAGACCTAAAATAATACAAATGCTAAAAATTAAGATAATTTTCATGATGTTAGAGTGGTTTTTGGACTTCTATTTTGTCCACTTATACTTTTGCGGTTGTGGTAAGTACTTTTCTCTTAAAAGTAGAAATTGAAAATCTATTGTTGTAAACACTTTATAAAGATAACTTCACTTATCGATCGAGAGTAGCAAATACGATACGTTAAATGTAAAGTTTGATCATATCAGACTGTTGTAATGTATGTTTAAAAATTTCATTCTATTAGACTGAGAACTGTAGGCAGAAACTAGTTAAATCAACAACTATCAGTTCCAACAAAAATCTGGTTGAATCTTAGTACTTATTCAATATTTTAAAATGGTTTATTATTCAACAATGAATTACTTATTTAAATATAGATATATAATTGCTACTATCTTGACCAAGTCGGAACTGTAAACGAACATCATAAAATGCAGTGGGAAAGTGTGGACTGACGTCATGTTTTTTGTTTTTAAAGCCAAGATTGTAGATAAATAAACCGGGAGTGATCTCCCCTAAACTTTCTCGAATATTCTAATATAAAACAACAAGGGGTGGGAACTCGGGATATAGTTATGATTTTTAATCCATTTTAAATACATTAACTTTTTAAAATAAAATAGAATCTCATAGAAAAAAGTATTGCACACCAAGCGAACGCCGAATAAAGATTTTCATAATGGTGCGCAATATTATTAGTATTTTATAAATTTAGATGCGTTTTTCAGAAATCGGAAATAGCGTAAATTAGTACATTCCGTCAACGGAAATTACTCAAAATTTAACAGAAGGTAGAGAATTAGTTTTTTTTACTTACATGTGAAATTTCATTTATCTATCTGAAATAGTACTCAAGTTATAGGCTTTTGAAAAATTCAAAGTACAAAAAGTACCACTTCCGGTTATCGGAAATCGCTCAAAAGTTGATACGGATCTACGATTTTGATAAAATACTTATATATGTGTGTGTGTGTCTGTGTGTGTGTGTAAACACGATACCTTGAGTACCGTTACAGCTAGGTTGATGAAATTTCATATATAAGTATTTTATCAAAATCGTTGATCCTTATCAACTTTTGAGCGATTTCCAATAACCGGAAGTGGTACTTTTTTTACTTTGAATTTTTCAAAAGCCTATAACTTGAGTACTAATTAGGATAGATAAATGAAATTTCATATGTAAGTAAAAGATCCAATTCTCTACCTTCTTTAAAATTTTGAGTAATTTCTGTTAAACGGAAGTACTAATTTACGCTATTTCCTATTTCTCAAAAAACGCATGTAAATTTATAAAGTACTAATAATATTGCGCACTATTATGCACATTTTGTTTTGGCGTTCGCTTGGCGCGCAATTCTTTTTTTCTATGAGATTCTATTCTATTTTTACAAGCTTTTATTTAACTCACTTCCTCTGTCGACAGTCTGTCGACATTCTGTCGACAGTCTGTCTGTTGTCAGTCTAGATCGAAACGCAGGAGTGAAAATTCGGACAGTTCTACTTGACCGATACGATTCACAGTTGGCACGTGGGTCAAGACATGAAGACAATGCAATCTGAATCTAAATTTCACTTAATTGGATGCCTAATTAATTTTTTATGAATTAATTAAAATTTCGACCGAATTAGTAGTCATGTCTTTCCAACCACACCACATACGTCATCACGTTCAATCAGGTTTAATAGCTGCGCTATCACGTTCAATAGACGCTCAATGGTTTTTAGTCTTGTAACACTATTGCAAATAAAACATGTAAAGTACTGAAAAAAAAATTCATAAAAAACGTTTTAATAACAAGCTTTTATGTAATGATGCACTAAAAAGTAGAAAATAAATTATACACTACTATTTAAATTACTATAAAGAAAAGCGTGTGTCTCTTCTCAAATATTAGTAAAGGTATCCAATAGGTACTAAAGTACTAAAGTGACCCACGATTTTCTTTATAGTAATTTAAATAGTAGTGTATAATTTATTTTCTACTTTTTAGTGCATCATTACATAAAAGCTTGTTATTAAAACGTTTTTTATGAATTTTTTTAAAAAGTTTAAGTAATTAAAAATCATGTCAATATTCTAATTTATGCAAGAATATTCGAGAAAGTTTTGGGGAGATCACTCCCGGTTTATTATGTGGGTAATTCCGCTATTGGAGCAATTACATTAGACACATGGGAAAACATTTACATTTATGCAAACGTTTTTGGTTTAGAAAGAATAATTAATACGCTCGATTGTTTATGTTGGAAAACTTAAACAGATAAGTCTTTCACAAATAGCTCAGTTCAGTGGGGAAATAGTTCCAACTACATTTACTGCCGATAATCTTTTTGATCGGTTTTTATGTGGGTTATTCCGCTATTGGAGCAATTACATTAGACACATGGTAACACATTTACACTTATGCGAACGTTTTTGGTTGAGAAAGAATAGTTAATACTCTTCATTTGTTTATGTTAGAAAACTCAAAACAGTTAAGTCTTTCAAAAATATTTATACAACTTCCTGGCAAGGAACTTCAGGATTTAATAAAAAGCCAGGACCTTGTAGTCAGCCGTGATCAGATGGGTCACGAATGACACTAAAATCACGGGTCAGAATGCTGCAAGTAACAGATAAATCTAAGTTGATGCTTCTTGAAACGATGATAAAACTCAATTAAAACTCTGATGTTAGAAAATTCTTTGTAACCAATGATACATCGTCTAGAAAAAATAAACTTACATAACTGTTGCCGACTGTAAGGACATGTCTTGTAAGTCCTGCTGTTTTACCTCGTGTCCGTAAAATGTACTTGGTTTAAGAAAACAAATATTTCAGCCATATAATTGTCGACGCCGTGTTAAACCATGATCAGTTTTACTGACAAATATCAGTGTTTATGCTTCTTGAAACGATATTCATTGTTTTTAAGGATAACATTACCATTTTAATTATTTATGTATTGAATTAATAGGTACACTTCTGGTCTCCTAACAAAAAACAATTTCAGAATTTCATAAATTTATTTACTACTAGCGTACCCATCCCCGCAAGTTGCCGCGGGAATAGAAGAAAGTCCGACGAAATATAGAAGAAGGATTCTATCCATGCGTTATCAATCCTATATTCTTAGACTCTTGACCTTAATTTTTTACTTTCTCGTATATACTGATACGGAAAAACATAATTTTGCAATCTTGTCCGTATGTCTGTGTGTCTGTGTGTCTGTGTGTGTGTGTGTAAAAACGATAACTTGAGTACCGTTACAGCTAGATTGATGAAATTTCACATATAAGTATTTTATCAAAATCGTAGATCCGTATCAACTTCTGAGCGATTTCCGATAAACGGAAGTGGTACTTTTCCTACTTTGAAATTTTCAAAAGCCTATACCTTGAGTACTATTTCAGATAGATAAACGAAATTTCACATGTAAGTAAAAGATCTAATTCTCTACCATCTTTTAAATTTTGAGTCATTTCCGTTGAACGGAAGTAGTAATTTACGCTACTTCCGATTTCTCAAAAAACTAAAGTAAATTTTTAAAGTACTAATAATATTGCGCACTATTATGCACTTTTTTATTTAGCGTTCACTTGGTGTGCAATTCTTTTGTCTACGAGATTTTATTTTATTTTTAAAACTTTAAGTATTTAAAATGGATTAAAAATCATGTCTATAGCCCGAGTTTCCATCCCCTGTTATTTTATATAAAAATATCGAGAAAGTTTAGGGGAGATCACTCCCGGTTTATTTAAGTGAGTTATTTAAATCATGCCTGCGCTTGGATCATAAAAATCGGGACACTGTTTTACCAACACTACCGCATGAAAACCTTGAGTGATTAATCAGTCACCGAAATAATGAGATAGAACCCACTTCGGTGACCGCCCATGTGTCAGGGACGTAGAGGGGCGCTTTCAGGAGTCCCCACCCCCGATATCACTACCGCATAGGCGCAGCGTACGGCTCCTTGGCTCCTTAAAACTAACAGGCGCCATCGTGCTCATATGATAACCCAGAGTGCCAAATAGCATCCTGTTAACAATGATGCAGATTGCGTCATTCGCTAAAGTGACACAAATGAACGGGATTTTTTCTTTAACACGTAAAAAAATTATTTGACGTGTTTTAAACATCAGTGTGACTGATGCAATATGTTAGCGTTACTAATGGTCTATTATTAGATCCTCGATTTCGATTTCTGATTGAATTGTCTAAAAATAGATGGTAATTGCATCATTCTCAAAGTGACGAAGCTGGATTTTTATACGGACAA